GATATCAACCGCCTAAGGCGAATCGGCCTCAGGGACTGTGCCGTCCGATGTAACGGTTACAGCATCGTCTGAACTACTCTCTACTCAAAATCTACGCAACACGTTTACAATCTCTACTTCTACATTCTGGCGCGCCTTATTCAATTCCTCTGAAAATGAATTAACTAACTCTACAATCTGTTTGTGCCCTGCGGATCCGTTGGTCTTCGCGCTCATCAGCCGTCGTTCGAGTAGATCTAACTTCAACCACTTCACCGAATCCAATCCCCACAACGCGAACCCGTTCAGGCACTTCTCTAACCGCAATCTCAACATGTTGGTTGAATCCTCCCACAGCTTGCGGTAGGCATCCTCTGCCTTTTCCATTCTCCTTTGCGACTGTTCTGATCTCATTTCTGCCTTCCCTAACTGCTCTCGTAACCGTCGACAGTCAGATTCAACCTTTAATCTACATTTGACCTCCGAAGACTTGGCCGACTCGCAATCTGCCAATTTCTTGGCCCAATCCACTAACTCCTCCTCATGCTTCTGGTTTCCCGCCGACAGACTTGCTGATAGCTCCTCCGCACGTCGGAATTCCATCTCATACTTCGCTTCAATCTCCGAGATTTTCCTACGAAGATCTTCCTCCGCCGTCTTCGTATCTGCGAGTTTGCCCCGAAGTTCTTCGGCGATACGAGCTTCTTCGGCTCTTCGGGCTTCCAACTTAGCAAGTTCCTCGACATGCATCTTCTCTCGCTTCTCCGCAGTAATGATCAGCCGCTCCGCTCTTTTGTTTACCGCCTCGTAAGCTTCCCTGGATTTCTCCAGTCTCGCTACCAAATCCACTGTTACTTTCTGGACGTTCTCATTGGAGATACAAAGTCCTCTACAGGCCTCCTCCAACTCTGCACAGCACCCGGATTCCTTCTCTAGATTCTGCTGCAGTACTTTGCACTTAGTTTCCTTCTCCCGAAGCTGGGCTTCTCGCTCTTGCACCAATGCAATTGCAGACTCCCACTCCCTCTTTACTGCAACTGCTCTCTTGAGCTTCGTCCTATTCCTAATCATTGGTACATAGAATCCTGGCTCCTCCGTTACAGCATACTTCCCTCTCTTCCCGTCCAAGTATTTCAACAATGGAACTACACTATACTGCAAGAATTCAGGAAATGTAATTTCTGATGTCTTCACATCTTCGCCCGAAGTCTTCTCTCCTTCTTCGGGTCTCACCTCTTCCACCTGAGATGTCGGCAGTGTAATGCCCTCGGCTTCTACCACCATCCCTCCTACCCTTGCGACAACCTGTTCCAGAATCTCCTCGCTCAAAGTAAACTCCTTCTCCAGGTCCTCGTTCATCTTCATCTGTGGTGTCCCTTCGCCTTGCGCAGACCGTGTCCGCTCCGAAGACAAAGAAATCGGACTTACCAATTCCGTTCCCTACTTCAAAGGTTCTGCCGGTATATCTGCCGGAACTTCGATTGACTCCTCCGAAGGTACTCCTATCTCCACAGGTCGCATTACCTCGCTAGCTGCGATTTCGGATGTGTTTACAATTGATGCCACCGTCTTCTCCACACTGCTATCCGACACCTTAACTGTCACCATCCTCCGTTTCGCCCTCTTCTTTGATCTTGCGCGAGCTCTGTGCTGCCTGGCTCCACTTACATGCATATCCATCCTTCTTACCACGTGGGCCAATTCCTCCTCGTCATCATTCACGACCTTCCTTCTCTTTGCCAATCGTCTCTCTAGCTGCTGCTGCCTTTGAACCACGTCCACCTGAACTAGTCCTCGAGCGGTTGTGTGTGTTGGAATTGAAGGGGGTCGGTTCTCGTCTTTAGTCCCTTCACTGGACTCAGCCGTCAGGATTTCCCGCTCTCTCGGAAATTGTTTCTCTTCCTCCCTCGTAAGCAATCCCATCCCTCGATAGAAATTCATCAGAAAGGGAGTGATGTGATTGGTCAAAGGTTCCGTCCACCGGGAGCCTGCATTCACCCAGACAAGATCGTGAAAGATCCTTGCCCAATATACGCGTTGTCCATTCAAAATGCGTTCGAAGAATCCTACTTGCCAGGCCGTCACATAAGTCGTGCGCGCCGGCCGTAAGATGTGCATGATCCCCAACGCGATCGCCCGTCTCTTCGGATCTTTGTAATCGACAGTCTTCCATCCATTCGTCCCCTATCTTCCAGTCTCGAAGAGATGTTCATAAAAGAGTTCCTTGTCGCGCGTAAGTCCAACGCTATTCTTCTCAAATAGCAGGTCTCCTTCGCTGCCCGCACAAGATCCCAGTACCGTCGTCCAATGTTCGATAGTCCACAACATGGGATTACCGCGGAGCTCCTCGTCTGCGACCGTGCTCTTGTCCATAACTTCCTTGCAGATACTCGCTGAGACGCAATTACAATTCCACAAAAGGAATTCAAGCCGCAATTCCATCAACTTGTGTCTGAAAGGTCTCAATTCCTCGTAAGGCACCTTCAAGGGAACCAATTTCCTCACCTTTTCATTCTTCTTGGGCGCCATATCTTCAATTTGCATTTTGCTAATCGCGGGTTGGCTCGATTGCAATTCCTCTCTCTCTCGTTCTTGCTTGATATCGCAATGTCGGCGCGAAGTCTCCTTGTATTGTCTTTACCCTTGAAGCCCTAACATTGCCTTCTCCCGCGCCTCGTCAAACTCCCGACGCGTGCGAGCATCGTCCGGCCCGTTGCATGATTTGAAATTGATTCCGATGTCTTCGCCGAAGACGCAGCTCTTTGTACGTCCTTGAAAGACTGCGCCGAAGATCCGAAGATCTTCGTACGTAGACGAATTCTAACTAATACTATCATAACTCCTATAAATCTACTCTTTCCAACTCATATAACTATCTTCTACACAAATATGTTTATGTTTTTGTTAATGTTTAAAGAAAAACAGGAAAGTAGGCCCCACAGAGCTAGCTTCAATTTTCTCATTAGATGTCTTATAAAAGCTAAAAAGCTCTCATTAAATTGATAAACTTGTCATAGTCTTATATAGTTCTTTCGACTATATATATCTCAAAACCATTCCACGTTCCTGAAGCCTGGGCTAAAACTCAGAAAGCTGGTTTTGCATTATCTATTGTGATGATGTTCACTTCCGGCAAACATTATTTTTTGTCTTCTTTCGTTATTTGACTTTCAAAATTTTATTTCTAAAGCTATCAAAATGAATAGATTCAAAATTTAAAGTGAGGGGCTAGTTATCCCTCACCTGGGGCTAATTAGCCCTCACCCTTGTATACGAACTTCAGTCATTGGGCGAATGGGGCTATAGGATCCGTGTGGTAAAAGCTAAACTTCACAACTACACGTCTTTCTAATGGACTTCAAAGATGCCATGGTGTCAACAACCACGTAAGAAGCTGACTGCCACCTCCGCGATCTAAAAGTCACGTCAAAGTTCCTAGTAGTGAAAACAGGCTCATAGGTACAAATTTTTTATCAGCCCAAGTTGTTTTAGGTTAGATGGTGTTCAATGCGAGTGCGGTGGGATTGGATTTTTTGGACGTACTCTGTGAGCATGCTCATGTCTCATCCGGACGCATGTTATCATACTTCGTTGAACCCTTTGTTGTCCACTTTACAGTTTCTGGTGACTTAATTGGAGCAAAGAAACCCGAGTACATGGTTTTAACCTCCTAGTTTAGGCACTACAAAAAGTATCATGCGCTTATACTCTTGATTGTTTAAAAAATTGGCTTCCTCATTGAGTATCTATACCTCATTGATTTATTCTATCAAATTGGGACAAAAAGCACGTGCAATGCAGCGAAACGAAAGGTTCAGTGCAGTCACTGAGTTATTAGACGCATTTGCATTGAGCACCAACGTCTAAACTGCCACTTGTGCATATTCTCTTGTTTGCACCCACGAGCCGTTTTTGCTCCTAGGAACCTTGACGTGGCTTTTAGATTGCGGAGGTGGCACTCAGGTTCTTCAATGGCCGTTGACACTATGGAGTCCATTAGAAAGAAGTGTAGTCACGAAGTTCAGCTTTTACCCCAAGGACCCTATAGCCCCATCCGCCCAATGACTGAAGGCCGTATACTAGGGTGATGGTTAATTAGCCCCGGGTGAGGGATAACTAGCCGCTCCAAATTTAAATATTGTACCCACCAAACTTTGCACGTACCTCAACTCACATACAAAGGTTATATGTTAAGTGAAGGTTATTTCCTAAACTATTGATTGCTAAGTTTTCACTGGATTAGTGAAGAAGGAGAGTATTGATCGGCCCGAATTCAATAGAAATTAGAATTCCTTCAGTACTTTTCCTAGACACATACTGAGGTTCCACAATTCCAGTCTTGTATCAACCTCTTACTGCTGAGTCTAGAGCAAACTTTGTGAGAAAGGTTAAAGGAAAAAAACCGAAGGCTTCATCACATATCTCTTACACATGAATAAGCTTAACAAACTTCATCTCCAAAAACTTGAGACAGTTCCTAACCCTTGACAACAAGGCCCATCCGCTCATCAGAGTAGATGCCGACTAAGATATCTCAATAGTTCTTTCCGAGGCTGTATTTATAAGATCAACGAAGCTCAAGACATCATAATCAAGAAAAGTTATTCAAGACCAAACGTGGACACTAGACCACGTTCATTTCCATTATAAGAGTAAGGATAAATGATTTGGTAAGACGGCAACTTCTAGTACCTTGCAAACTTAGTTGACTATTGAAGTGTTTGTTATCCTCCAGAACACTCATGGTGTACGAAAAGCTAATTAGAAGTAGCCAAGTGGAATATACATTTGTAAGTTCTTTACTGTACATGTCTTTGTGTTGCGTCATGTGACGTGAGGAGTTGACATTCCATAATCATGCATCCAAATCTTTCCGCTGAGGTATCACCTAGAAATTAAAAAGTCTTGGATTTCTCAACCTCTGCACAGTCTAGTCACTAGAGATCCGACGTACTAGCATTCACTTGTCTTCTTCACACAAGTACCCCTATAAATAGACTCCATACCCTGAGTCTATCCATATGCATTCACTTTGCAAGGTGATTTCCTCTGCTAGTTCTCAGCTTAAGCTCAAATCTCTTTGATGTTCAGAGAACCCGAGTTCTCCCGATTCTTTCACGAAGATCTTGCACAGAATGGTTTCAACAAGAACCTTCTGTCTGGTTCTGGCTCTCATGCTTGTAGCTACGCACTATCAGGTTGCAATCGAAGCTCTACCACCCCCACCCCCACAGATGAATGGAATGGTTGAGTGCGCGTGCAAAGGGACTTTTTGTGGAAGCAACAGATGCCTCTGCGACCAGAACTGTTATTGTAAATGCTCATAGTCGCAAGACAGAAATTCTATACAGCTTTCAATTTTAGACGTGAACTATGAACTATGAACTTCACGCAGCGCAAGGTTCGTGTTCATTTGAACATTACTAGCAAGTTTCATTGAGTGCAGTTGGGATTGGCTTGGTGATTTACAATGAATAAGCAGTGAGGAGTACATTTAGGAACCTTCAACACTGGTTTTCAAGTTTGCAAGTTGTACTTTCGACCGCACCTTGGCTCATTTATAAATCAGATGTAAGTTTCTAGAAACTGAATATCATTGTAAGGAATGCTACGTGTATGCGCTCTGTGTTAGAAAAGGTTTCTTGATCATCAGTGATCGCACTGAATCTTGTAACCTGCTTTCGAGCCCAAATTAATGATATGTCATCCATATGCAGTACTGACTAAGATAAACGTATTCAGCGACTGCACTTGTCACATATACACGTCTTCATAAGCCTCATGTTCACATTCAAGTATTTACTTGCTAAGAAGTCCATTAAATCTTGGTCTGAACGAACTAAATCCGATATGAGTGTGACCGATCTAGAATATGTACTCCACATGGAAGCAGAGTATCGACTCGCATCCACAACTTTGCTTGAAAACTGGTTGTATAGTTCGGACAGTTTCATGCAACACTTCGCACGGATTTGAAGAGATACAGTTTTTAATTCTGTAGACCGTCCTGGTTGTGTGCTGAAAGATATTTATACTTGCTTGAATGCATGTAAGTTTAGTTCATTCTAAGAGTCTGCCCTCATCTCATAAAATATAGCACAAATCTCATGTTCGTCACACTACCATGTGTTCCAAAATCATGAAGTTCATGATTCAATTCTAAAAATGGATTATTATGAACAATCCACCCTACACTCTCTGATGTTAGTGTTTCATGAAACTTCATCGCAAATCAGTTATGCAGTCTTTGCAATCGTGTGAGCTTTTGAGAGTTGAGAATTATCCCCAACAAAAAAAATTTAGAAATTGATTTCTGTAATTTCCTTTCTGTAACTACAAAGTGAATTAAATTATGAAGTTAAATAATATTAGAAGTATCATAAATATTTAATCATCTTAATTAAATATATATTCTAATAATTTAATATTTAATTATGGTGTTTAAAAGCTTCGAATGTTGGAAGATGACATGTACTTGATTTACTTGAATTCACCACAAAAAACCTGCTTACCTCAGCATGCATAAGGTCGAGTGGCTGAACGGTTCGTGGCGGAAATCATCAAGATCAAATGTGATGAAGACTTTGCTCGTAAGATTCCAAAGGTGGGAGTGTTTGGGTGAAAAATGAATGATTTATATTTTTTCATTTATCGTCATTGTGTACGCTTGAATGGATTGGCTACGTAACGAAGAGCGTTATAAGAACCAAGTGATACAGAGTGCAATCTTGAAAAACTTGTTGCTGATTTGTGGCAATAGTGGATGATCTCGGAGGCAAAATGAGTACAAAGATTAGAGTCTCACTTGGATTATAAAATTCTATTTGTTTACTGGATATAGACTTGTTGGAAATGAACCATGTAATTTTGTGTGTTGATTTTTGTTGTGAATGTTCTTTCCCTGGTGTGAATTTTTTTTTTCTATTCTATTTTATGTTTTGGACAACAACAATGACAGCATTTAATGTCATTGTAAAGGAATATTCATTAACAGATTTTAAAAGACAAGGATGAGTAGATTTGCGTGTAAGTAACTAGATAGGTGTGGTTTTTTTTTGAAAAACGTTGTAACATTTGCGTTGAAGCATTCATTGTAAAAATTATCATTTTGTTTCAAAATAGAAAATACATGAAACTTTGTGTACAAGCCATTAAGAGGCAAAATTGAGTCATACATGTGGCAACATCAAGTAAGAACAACATACATTGCATTGTTACTTAAGTGCTAACACATTAGATTCATATTGCCGTTAAAACTATGCTTAAAGAATTGAAGCAAGACGTTGTTGTGACAGTAACACAGTAAAGTACTTTGATTTTGATATTTATTTTTATTTTGTATAAATTTTTATAATTTTATAAGGTAAATAAATTTTATCTCATACAATCTAAAAAATTTAAAACAAGTGTGTATAGAATAAAACAAAGAAACCTTAAAATTTTCCTAAATCAATACTTCGTAATGTGAAGTTATCTGAAATAGAGTATAAAAGCATGATATATTGTAAGTTTGATAACTTCTTTGAATAATCAACCCAATATCTTGAAAATACTTAATATCAAACTAAATTTCAATAAATAATAAATTTTTATGTTCAAATATGCCTCGATATTTTCTTGTGAATTTTTTATGTCAGTCAGATCATTTCAAAATATGATCTAAATTTTATAAAGTTACTACGTTTTTTTGAAAATAAATGTCTTAAAATATTTCTTATAATTTTTGGAATTTATGTTCTTACACAATCATTTAATTCTTGTCAATACCTGCGATTGAACATTATTTAGTCAACTACATCTTGATATAATTATCCAAGGTTTTTCTAGCTAATGATATGTTTTAGCAAGTAACAATTTATGATACCACCATTCTTATTGGAAAAAATTTGCAATGAGTTGCAAATTAGTCTAAATGAATCTTATAAAATTTAGCAAGATACTCTAAAACCGTAACAGTTGAATTCAAATTCAAATTCTGAAGAAATATTATTCCATTCTTGTACATTAAATCAAAGTTAAAAAAACATGAATATATATAAAGTTACTTCAAGAGTAACTTTATAAATAGAGTCTATATGCGATAGAGTTATAAGGATATATTTTTCAAAAATATTTATATCGTTTTCAATGAATATTTAAAACGATATGTAAATACTTTCGCAAAAATATATAGATAATTTTATCTAATGAACCTTTCACATGCAGTAAGTTTTCCAAAAAAAATCTTTAAAAGAGCTAGAATTTTTTTGATCAAAAGCTTGATTTTAATTTTTTCTAATAATTGAAATTATATATTTTTAATTAGCATGAAAAAGAAGTCTATAATCGATCATCTTCAACTAACATTTCACTAATATTTTTTTGAAAATAAAAATTTAATATGGCTGATCATAGAATTCAATTCAGTACTTTGATCATGTCGGGTTGTGTTTTACCCTCTAGTCGATGATACACACATTATAGACTTAAAATAATACATTTTATTTCTTTAGCTTGACGATGAAGATCCAAAATTGCAAAGCTAATATTTTTCCTTTTGATATTTTTTAGGTGATGTATGGCATCTATAAACATATTAGCAACTTGTATCCAAAGCGTTTGTATTACACTAGCTAAAGATTATACTTGTAGATGATATATTAGAAGTTCATAATAACTTTCTATGAAATGATTCGCGACTGATATTTGATATATCCATATCAAATAGTATTCATTAATCCATCCAACTTCTTTTCACCTAAACGACATCTCACTTACTCTAGTTCAGGTTGACACAGAGAGAGTGCGATTATTGGATTTGGTAGCTGATCAGGAATTGATCATGATGTGTATTTCCACTAAAAAATTCTCTTACAGAACTCTTACCTTCATAAGTCCTTGTCAACATTCAAAAATATGCCATAAATATTAAAATTCACAATTTTTAGATTTGAAATTTTTTCATTAAAACGTATTTGAAGATGTTCCTAACTCTCTTTATGAAGCTATATGTGATTTTTATCGTTGTTGTTGAAGATAAACATTATTGAATTTTCTTTTATCAATTATAATTGTGAAAAATATCATTGAAATTGATAATGAAGAAAAAGATGACAACATTTCAATAATCAACTTGGAAATTATACAATTATAATTGTTATGGAATTTTTTTGTGTCTCAAGGTTATATTAATAAAAGATTTCACCGATATAAAACAAATACACTCCAAAAATTTGTTGGGTTAAAACTTATAAATTGATTTATTCTTGAAACTATAATATATTTTTGGTCCCGAAAGATTAGGTCCACGCCAAAGCGTTTATTTTACTTTGGCCGTGTTAAGCCCCAGTTTACGGACGTGTTGGTAGCAGAGTATCTTAGCATGTATATTATTAGGAGAAGGTGGTTGATATCGTCTGCGAATGAGTAGTAGTTGTAGTATCCCCGGATCACAGCCATTTAGATTTTTTAACAAGGTTAAATCTAAAGTATTACAAAAAAAACCAACCCCTACAATGAATTTTTAATTCCAATCCAATCTGTAAAAAGTGAGCTTACGGAAAAGACGAAGCAAGCCTCCCAACGAAGCCATAAAGAACCTATCCAAATACAGAAAATAAAAGAAAATAAAAGGGAGCTTAATTAGTGTCGTATACTCCCTACAAGGAAGATTATATCTAAACCGGAAGTGTTGCTTATGGGTTTGAGGGTACCATCAAGCAAATCTCTCCCTTGGCGCACGCTTCTTTCTAGGAGGTGCTAAGTAAGTTTGAAGTCTATGCAATCTAATTACGAGAGTCCTGCGCCTTCTCTTCGGGAAGGGGAAAAAACGGGAAACACCAGTATGGGGAAGGGGCTAGGTATCTGCTTAGTCTAACCAGATCTAACTCTACACAGCTTACCAAAGCAACTCCCACGGATCCTAGATTGGATGTGACCGACACGGCACGGTTGTATTATTTCTTTCAATTGAAGTATAACTTAATTGATATTGTGTAAATGATTTGAGAGAAATTTGAGTTTGAACTAGCTTCAATTTTCTCATTAGATGTCTTATAAAAGCAAAAAAGCTCTCATTACATTGATAAACTTGTCATAGTCACTTGTTCTTTAGGATTTGTTACTTGTCATTGTTGACCTAACAAGAGGAAAGAGTTTCAACATAAATCTAAAAGGGAAATCTAAGGAAAAAGCTTACACATCATACACAACCATGTTTACAAATAGGGGTATAGGGTTTAATCATGTATCAATCAGAATGTATCCACCAACGCATTATCATAAATGAGAAATTTTCCAATTGTAATACTAAGAAAAAATAGGCGATGAAACTCATATGATAAAACTTTCTAAATCTAACTCGACTACGTTGTCATGTAGTTACGAGTCGGCTCACGAAGTTCAGACACTTACTATATTTAGCCGTAAAGTTAGGGTTCCGGTCACGAGGGGTATAGAGTCGGGGACGGCTCGAAGAACGTCAGTTCTTCGAGTCGAGCCTGGAAGCGTTGGGAGCGTAGAGTGACTTTCCCCTTTGCGTCGACCTGGATTCTCCGAGTGTGGAGTGGGTTGGGCTTGACTCATGTTTGTGACGGTGACGGTTTGTTGCCAGAAGGGTAATTGACCGACGGGAATTCCAGTGGGGAATCTCCCGTTTATTTCACTCGAAGAACTCCCGTTTGCCGAAATCGTGACAGTTTACGGTTTCTACGTGTAGTTTCGGTGTTTTTCTTGATCCTGCGATT